CCAGAAAGCCTTTGACAAGGTCCCTCACCAAAGGCTCTTACATAAATTAAGCTGTCATGGGATAAAAGGGAAGGTCCTTTCATGGATTGAGAACTGGTTAAAAGACAGGGAACAAAGGGTAAGAATTAATGGTAAATTCTCAGAATGGAGAGGGGTAACTAGTGATGTTCCCCAAGGGTCAGTCCTCGGACCAATCCTATTCAACTTATTCATAAATGATCTGGAGAAAGGGGTAAACAGTGAGGTGGCAAAGTTTGCAGAGGATACTAAACTGCTCAAGATAGTTAAGACTAAAGCAGACTGTGAAGAACTTCCAAAAGATCTCACAAAACTAAGTGATTGGGCAACAAAATGGGAAATTAAATTTAATGTGGATAAATGTAAAGTAATGCACATTGGAAAAAATAACCCCAACTATACATACAATATGATGGGGGCTAATTTAGCTATAACGAGTCAGGAAAAAAATCTTGGAGTCATCGTGGATAGTTCTCTGAAGATGTCCGCGCAGTGTGCAGAGGTGGTCAAAAAAGCAAACAGGATGTTAGGAATCATTAAAAAGGGGATAGAGAATAAGACTGAGAATATATTATTACCCTTATATAAATCGATGGTACGCCTACATCTTGAATACTGTGTACAGATGTGGTCTCCTCATCTCAAAAAAGATATACTGGCACTAGAAAAGGTTCAGAAAAGGGCAACTAAAATGATTAGGGGTTTGGAATGGGTCCCATATGAGGAGAGATTAAAGAGGCTTGGACTCTTCAGCTTGGAAAAGAGGAGACTAAGGGGGGATATGATAGAGGTATATAAAATCATGAGTGATGTGGAGAAAGTGGATAAGGAAAAGTTATTTACTTATTCCCATAATACAAGAACTAGAGGTCACCAAATGAAATTAATAGGCAGCAGGTTTAAAACAAATACAAGGAAGTTCTTCTTCACGCAGTGCACAGTCAACTTGTGGAACTCCTTACCTGAGGAGGTTGTGAAGGCTAGGACTATAACAGCGTTTAAAAGAGAACTGGATACATTCATGGTGGTTAAGTCCATTAATGGCTATTAGCCAGGACGGGTAAGGAATGGTGTCCCTAGCCTCTGTTTGTCAGAGGATGGAGATGGATGGCAGGAGAGAGATCACTTGATCATTGCCTGTTAGGTTCACTCCCTCTGGGGCACCTGGCATTGGCCACTATCAGTAGACAGGATACTGGGCTAGATGGACCTTTGGTCTGACTCAGTACGGCCGTTCTTATGTTCTTATTAATTGAATTGAAAAGTGACTGCCCCACTAGCTGAGATTGTAAAGTGCTCATTAATCCCAAAACAGAATCCCCAAACAGAGAGTAAGGACATTCAGTGCTTAGGCCTTGGGAGAGCTGGAAGGTCCCTGCTCTGCCAGACTTCCCGTGTGACCTTGGACAAGTTGCTTAGCCTCTCTGTGCCTCGATTCCCCAGCTATAAAATGGGGGTAATGCCATCCTACCTCACTGGGGTGCTGTGAGGATAAATGCCTTAACACCTCTCAATCTTTCAGACACTATGGTAATGAGCGGCATAAAAATGCCATAGATAGATAATCAATACGACAAAGAACTGAATGTTGAAAAACTGATTCTTCTAGCTAATCCCTTTTTTTCTTGCAGCAAAGTCCTCATCTTAAGAAAATCTATCCCTGCCAGTTATCAGCCAGACTAAAACTGCTCTAACATTTGGAAACGTTGCACAAACTTTGTATAAACTGCAAAAATGTATTTAAAAAAATATTCTCGTAAAGCATATCAAAGGCGATTATTGTCACTCATGTTCATTTCCCTCAAAACATTTTGACAGCTTCACAACTTAGCAATGCATAGCACACAAGTGTCATCCCAACCTCATCTCTTATCATCCAGGTCTGGATCAAGTGTGCTTCATCATCCCACAAAGTCACTGCAACCTGCTAGAAATATTATTTATCTTCTCAAAGTATGGAACCAAGAACTGGGATAAATCACCGCGCCCGAGACTCTAGGTTACAACAGGTATTTGAGGCTTATTTAAATAGGGAGCTAGTATAGCTTGTGGCTTTTTTGACACATCAGGATTACACAGAAAAGGCAGTAAACTTTATAAAGCACTAAGGAAGAAACAAAAACGGTTTCTTCAGTAGAATTACATTAAATGAAAAACACTGACTATTTTTTGAGAAATAACATTTACTTAAGGGAGAAATGCAGACAAGTTCAGGTGTTTGAATTGTACTTAAAGGCTCTGTCTACATTGTAGCTCCCACTATTACTACCAGCCATAGTCAATTACAGCTATAAAGTTTGTAGTATAGACACAGCCACAATGACTAGGCAAAGCTGGAATGGATCAAGCTAGCAGAGATACATTCTGCTCACATGGCAGCTTGAACTATGCTAGCAACAAATGAATGTAAAAGCAGTCATCACACGGTTCTGGCACTTTGCAAACGCGGTTGTTGCTGGCGTGGCTGTAACACAGTTTCCATATCCCAGTATGGACAGGGTATTGTTTTTTTTGACTACCCCTTTTTTTTAAACCATACATTGAAAAAGCATAAGCCATGTTATTGACCGGCTAAAAGGCTGCATATTTATGAATCGGGGATCAATGATTAAGATAAAAGCCTCTGTTTATTGATCAAGCGCTGCTCTCTTCAATTAAAATGATAAAATGGAGTTATGTCCCAACATTAAAATGTCCGAGCTCACCAATTGTGAGTGAGTGCACCACAGGTGCTAGCTAGGTCTGCACGGAGGGACTGCTCTCAGCTGCTCATCTGCATGAATGTGGTTAGGCACCCTGGTGATGGGCACTTAATAAAATCCATGATAGGCAGATATTTGACATAATTCATCCCTAAATCTAGCAGTGTTTGAGATTCTGTGCTGTGCCTCTCAGCTATGCAGCACAGAATTCACGGCCCAGAGGGAGGGTGAAAAAAGTGTTCCTAAGCCGTCCTTACCACCCTCCTGATCCTACACTGCTCTGTAGCTCCCAGCGTAATTTACGCCATGTTGTTACACAGGTTTCCCCTGTCTGCCCTGTGGGCTGGAGCACTGTTCAGAGTCTCCACAGTACTGCATGTTGTTGCCCACCTCAACACACCCATCTGCCCCTGTGCACGGTATGCCCCCTAGGCCAGTGGTTGTGAGGGGATCCTTAGTAGGCAGTCTTACGGCTGTCTTCCTCTGTTCCTGAGCCACAGGAATTGTCCCCCAGCTGGATCCGAAGATTTTAGGGTCTCCCTTCATGCCATCCCAGCCCTTTTACCTGACATAAAGGGGCTGGAGCGGGGGTGAGGATCCTCATCAATTAATAGAGAGGGAAGCTGTCAGCAGTGAGGAAGAGAAAAGCTGCTGTTCCTACCCAGGGAAGTTCCCTGGATGAGAGGGAGAGAAGTTGCAGATCCTACTTGTGGGTGCCATCCCCTGGACACAGGGCTGCCCAGAGCATTCAGGGGGCCTGGGGCAAAGCAATTTTGGGGGCCCCTTCCATAAAAAAAAGTTGCAATACTATAGGTCTGGCTAGAGAATCTTGCCCGCATGCTCGGGGTTCAGCTGATCGCCATATTTGGGGTCGGGAAGGAATTTTCCTCCAGGGTAGATTGGCAGAGGCCCTGGAGGTTTTTCGCCTTCCTCCGCAGCATGGGGCAGGGGTCGCTTGCTGGAGGATTCTCAGCGACTAGAAGTCTTTAAATCATGATTTGGGGAGTTCAACAGCTGAGTCAAGGGAGAGAATTCTTCCAGGAGTGGGTGGGTCAGGTTTTGTGGCCCGCATCATGCGGGAGGTCAGACTAGATGATCATAATGGTCCCTTCTGACCTTAGAGTCTATGAGTCTATATTCTCGTGGGGGCCCCTGTGGGGCCCGGGGCCTGGAGCAAATTGCCCCACTTGCCCTCCCCTCTGGGCAGCCCTGCCTAGACAGAAGGAAGAGAGGGGAGCTCCAGTTCTCGCTGGGGCAGCCCTTGACAGAAGGAGAGATAGGGAGATAGAGGAGCCATTGCCAAGCAGAACCGTGCTTAAAAAGGGCCCTCGTTTCCTCCACAAACGTTTCATTAAAGAACTGTAATATTCAATGCTGAAATAGTGCTTTATACAGTCAAAGCACTGTAGAGACATTAGCAAATCACACTAGGTAGAAGTAACTCATCTGACAAGTGGGTAGATTCTTTAGGTCAGCTTCTCAGCAGGCGTAACTCTATGTGGTTCCATTGATTTCCATGGAGATTCACCGATTTGCACCTGAGCATCTGGTCCTTTGAGTTTCCATTTCTGATTTGTCAGGGAAGAGCCGGAACCTGGTACTTTGCTCACGAGGACATCCCCAATTCTGAACTGTATTCACCAGCTAAGAATAAAGACTTAGGTGCCAGCCAGTGTAACAACAGCTTAGCTATGAGATCACTGGCGGTTAAATGATGACTTAAATGATGACTTATGAGAGCCTGCCAATAGGAGTAGTGGGGGGAGGCAAGCAACACAGGTAGTTTTCAGGTGGAGCTTGATCCATTTCTGACTGGGATTATGAATAAGGCTAAAATTTTGTCATGGATATTTTTAGTAAAAGTCAGGGACAGGTCACAGGCTTCTGTGATTTTTTTCTTTATTGCCCGCGACCTGTCCCTGACTTTTACTAAAAATATTCATGATAAAATGGGAAGGGACTGGGCAGCAGCTGGGTGGCTGGGAGCTCTGTTCCCCCTCTCCCCCCACCATTGGGGACTCAGAGCTCCAAGGTGCCCCTGCCCCGTGGCGGGGAGCAGCCAGGGTCCCCCTGTCCCCCATAGAGGCCAGGAGCTGTGGGGTACCCCCACTGCCCATGGCAGCAGGGAGCTTGGGGGCCTGCTGCCTCAGGCGGTGGGGGTACCTCACAGCTCCCTGGTGCTGTAGTAGGCACCAGGGGGACCCTGCAGGTCCCAGCAGCCGCGGCTGAAGTCACAGAGGTCTTTGGAAGTCACAGATTCTGTGACTTCCATGAGCTCTGTGACAAAATCGTAGCCTTAATTATGAGACAGGGTTGCCTGCAACAGCAGGGGACTGGACTTGATAACCCAGAAGTTCCCCTCCAATCCTACGTTTGGTTTAGGTTGAATGTAATATCAACTATCACCACACGATGTCACAGCAAGCCAAGTAATGAAGTATGACTGGCATACAAACGGAAGTGATACCACAGTAACACAAGCCATATTTACAGATTCCAAGGAGAGTAAAATAGCCAGGCCATCTTATCACATGTTCACTAACAAAGCATTACTGACATTCAATGATCATCGTACTGACCTGGATCCTGATTTTAGCCTTGTTTTCCTTCGTCTTGTGGCTGGAAGATGAATTGAACTCTAGGGTTCTGCATAACCAGATGTTCTGCCGGAAGCTTTGACAAGGCCTGGAAATCCCAAGCCCAGTGGCTTTTTTCTTATTTCAGGCTTAGTCACCGAAATGCCAGATTTACTATTAATGGGAAGAGCTGTAGTGTCTAGGAATGACAGAGAACTAACACCTTGTGCTGTCGTTGCACTCCTGTGCCCAGGGATGGCACTGATGAGTCAAACTGGGGGGGTGAAATGATACGTTTCCCTGGAGGGGTCACTCAGTAATAGTCTCTTTAGTCCCCTCTCCTGCTGAGGAGGAGTCATTCTACCCTCTTAGCGAACAGCGGACGGAATCATAACTGAGCACTCAGAAGAGCAGGTGAAAGGACATCTGTCCGCTTTTGGCAGCCGCAACTGGAAAATGAACAGTTATAGAAAAGCACCCCAGAATACAGAACACTTGAATCGTGATTTTAATAAAGCAAAACCAATGCAACGTGGATATTCCTAAAAAAATTGTAGAGAACAAACGTGAACATTTCAACTAAGATACAAAAACTAACACAGAAAGGATTTGGCTCAAAGCTTAAAATATTCCAGTGCTGGGGATTTTTTTTTAAAGCAAGGGCAAGATGGCAAAACTGAGTGCGGAACAGACTGTAACAACTAAGATCGTTTTTTTCTATCTACAAATCTAAAGCAGAAGGTTCTATAATGGAAAAGGGTGAGCCAATGAAAAGGTGTTGGTGATTCTCAGTTCTCCATTGCTATTTGAGGAATGTTTTTGAAGCACTTGTATGATATTGTGGTTTACAACTTGTCTTAATTCTACATGCCAACCTGAGAGTGAGCTCTTGCTGCAGTCCCATAAGGCTACCTGGAAAGGGACTGCAATATTTGGTTTCTCTTTCTTGGTGGTCACTGGGTAAATATGGGCTGGTGTTAAGATGAGCATTGTGGAGTTATACATTTCAATAGCTACCGAGCATACACAATTGGAGCGGTTTCCAAAGTTTTTTTCCCCAGCCCTCATTCAGGCAGATCTCACCAGGAACCAGATCTCTGTCTGAAGCACCAAGACTTCCCTCTTGTGGCCAGGAAACCAGCTCCTCTGACCTTTCAGCACAAGGGTGGAGCACTATGAGCTCTTCTGGGGATTCTGACTCGAGTCTGAAGCCACGCTTTGTAATCCTCTTCTGGCATCTGAACAATATTTTCACGCACAAACTGAAAAATAAAGGGGCATTTTCCTTAGCGCTTTATATTATATATAAGAGATACTGATACCATCTGACTGTGGGACAACCACCATAGAGCCTGCAAACTGTTAGCATGTTAACCTCCTTTAGATTGGTGCGATAAAAATGAAAAGGGAAGTAAGTCTTTTAATACAAGTTTCTTTAATAGTGCATGTTAATTAAAATGAATTTTAAAATTGAAGCCGCTATGATCGTCAGT